GGGCACAGTGAGGAGACAACCCCACTCACCACGATCTAGCTGCTATTGATGAAGCTACTGAGATGGTGGCACTGATCTCAAAGAGTTCCACTTTTAAACTCATTGCTACACTTTAAGCTGAAAAAGGAAGAGGATGTGCAATGGAAAACGACATGCTGATGCAAAATGGGAATAAAAGCCCCTCTATAAAAAAAAAAAAAAAAGAAAGAAAATTCAGTACTTCTGATGGGGCCAAGAAAGTGGGAGGGATCACCTTAGGTTGTAAAGTTCACAAAGGAATGATTACAGTCAATATTCACAAAAGGCAATTAATTAAGTCATGTGGTAGAACAGATTGGGATCATCTTAAAGTTTTGCATTTGGGTTAAACGCAGTATTTTGAAAATCCTCACTGGCAGTCGATAACATGGCAGCGTTTCAGGAAAATAATCCTTTGATTATTTTACTACTAAGACAACAAGATATAAACTCTATACTATATAAAACATATGTATTCAATAAATGGCTTCTGAAATGTTTCTAGGCAACTGCTCCTCTGCGTTCTCGGTATAAAATACTCGGGTACCGCTGCGGTTTGAACCTGTGTATCCCGCCCTCCCCAAATCGTCTGTCGAAGTCGCAATGCCCGCTGTTGAGGCTCTGAGGAGGCGGGGCCTTTGGGAGGCGCCTGCGCGCTCAGGTCCTGAGGGCGGAGCCTCACGCACGGGATCAGTGCCCTCGGACCTTGGAAAGCAGCCCCCAGAGAGGGCGCTAGCCGCTTCCGCCCCACGAGGACGCAGCGAGAAGGCGGTGGCTGAGAGCCAGGAAAAGGGCTTTCTCCTGAACAGAACCATGCTGGCTGGCCTTCATCTTGGACTTTCCGGCCTCCAGGGCTGTGAGAGAGAAATCACCGCTGCTTATAAGGCACGCCGTCTCTGGTACCTGGTTAAGGCAGCCCCGAGCGCACTGGCAGGTACTCACACTGTACTTCCAGGTACCGCTGCGTCTGCAAGTTTCCGGTCACGGCAGGGTGCTCTACCTGGCAGATCACTGGGACCCCATCATCCTCCTTGTGAACCTTCAGCATCAGCTGGCTCGTCACAGTGTACATGTCTGACCACTCCTCCACCTCCGATTTGCCTGGGGGACACAGGATACACCGAGACCTCAGTCGAGTGAATTTCTGTCACCCTGATTTTATATATTCCCCACTGCTCGCCTGCCCCACCATCGCCATTTTAACAAAGGTGATGGAAGTCACCTGGGGCAGGGTAAGCTGTGGGTAGATCACGGATAAAATGATAACTTCCTACTTTTCAACCTTGCAGGATAGTAGGTAAGATGTATTGCAACCCCACATAATATATACTATTTTAATTTAACTGTATTACATATGCGCCTTCTAGCTTAAAACCTCCCACCAAAAGGCAGCTGAAAGTTGAACCACCGTGCCATCTGACTGCTGACGGCGTTTTGGAGGAGGAAAAGAGAAGCGCTTTTCACCCCTACAACCATCTGAACTTGAAACGTCTAGTAGGCTGTCGTGCGGTTTAAAAATTCCAGGACATCATCCAAATCTCCTAAGTAATTCAATCAGGAATAGAGATATAAACAAGCCCCTCTGCCCACCCCATCAGCAACAATTAGGAGGGAAAGTAACTAAATGGATTTACATAATTGAAATTGTAATTGAAATGTTTCAACTCTGAGACTTTTGGAAGACCACAGAAAATGTAGTGGCGGTGGGTAGAGCAAAGTCAGATACAGGCTTCGGGCCAGATGGGAGACATGTCCAAGAACACCCAGAAAAGGAGGGAGGAGGCTTCCGGATGGGATGAATAGGCCAACGTGGCCCCTTTCCTGAACTCAGCACTCCCCGGGACATAGCGCACCATTAACTTTCTTTTAATGTTTTGTATTTATTGGTACACATTTAATGGCTCAATTCACTTAGAAAAGCAGAGGGGAAATGAGAAACTCCTTCCTTCCAAAACCATACCTAGGAAATAGGAGATTAAAACAGAGCAAGCTTTTTGAAACTTAAGCCGTTATATATAGATTTATCTCTTTCTAGATATAGATTTTTATATCCCCTTTCTAAAAGGGCTTATTCTTTTCTTCCTGGCACTCCTGATTTATTTAACAAGCACATACAGAGCACTTACCTTGCCCCAGATACCAGCTACAAGCTTTACAAACATTCACTCATTTCATCTTCCTAAGAATCCCATAAAATCTGTAATATTAATATCCCCATTTTAGCAGAAACTGCGGCACACAGCTAGCATTTCTGTCCAATGACCAGAGGAGGTTAGCCCCCGGGGACTACTTGGAAAGGGATAAGAATGCCGACATGTACCTACAACTCAGGATGACTGACACTTAAGGGTCAAATAGGGGACGGGCTGTGGCCGCGGCGATGACGAAGGTGGCAGATGTTTGCAGGATCTGCCTGTGCTGCTGTCACAAACTGGGAACTTGGCAAAAGAACGGGCTGGTGAAACGGGCAACTGAAGCACAGGTGCCATGAGAGAAGGGGGGCCTGCAGATTCACAGTGAAGATAAAATTCTTAGTCCACTTGGCAGAGCTGTCCCTGCAGGAAAGCACATGGTCCGTGAGCGGACAGTGCGGTAAGGCATGTTAGAATGACCTGGAGTTCAGCATGGAGGCTGTTAGACTGTTTTTTTTTTTTTAATGTGTAACATGAGAAATTGGGGTTCTGACCCACCCTGGGTCACAGGGTAAATGAGAACCTGAGTTCAGTGACCCCTCTAACACCTTTTCCCGGTCTAAAGAGTTCTGGTGTATAAGTCTAGTTCTTTCTGGGCGTTGGAATAAATATCCAGGAACACGTATCACCACAAACCCTCAAACCACATAAGGAGGATATGCATTAGATTCAATAAAGTGTCCTTAGGCTTTGGCTTCAGATGCATTTAGCAATTGATTATACACCACACTTATATGGATATTTTTGTTTTAGGGGCATGTTTTGCATTTATCTTGCGTTTCCACAAAGGTAGATGCCCTTGCAGGAATCAGGTGCCCACTAACAGGGGCAGCCCACGCCTCACCTTTTAGCTCCTTGTTCCCTTTGAACCACCTGATAGTCGTGGCTGGTTTGCTGGCCATGGCGGTGCAGTTGACTTCGATCTCCTCGCCTTCCACTGCGGTGTCTTTCTGGATATCGATCATCAGATTGCGTGGTGGGACTACAAATTAAACATGTGCGCTTTTTAAACACAGAATCCATTTCTGCACATGGCCTTCTTTTCATTAGAAACTAGCACCACTGCTATCAAAAAGAGGAGACAAATAACGGACATTCCTGATGGGAATTTAAAACAAACCACTACCAGAGGGGAAAAAAGAAGTACAAAGCCATTATCAAACAAGGTGAATCATATCATGCACGAGTTGTGAGTTTAGAATGTCTCTCCTAAAGTCACCTTATAAAAAATGCCCATTCTCCCATTCCCCTAACTTTTCAATGACCAAGCTGTAACAATGTAGGTATCAGATGAGCTGTCAATCGGTTATTAGAAAATTGAACAGGAAGTAGATACAAACGTAAGATGAGTAAACTCTATTGAAATTATCATCCTTATCTGGAAGGATGTGAAAGGACTGCTTCTCCTTGAACTCAACCCTTGGATTTCAATCTTCATATAAAAGATTCCAAAGACAACCAGCTTTGGAATCAAAGACCTGGAGTCCCTTAAAACAATCACTCACCATAAATACACGTAGAAAAGTTGTGCCTTGGAACCAGTTGCATTCAGTTAAAAATATTCATAGAGCACCAGAATGCAATCATGACCTCCAATGGATGGCATGGTAAAAAACCACTGGCTATGAAGATGCAGTAATATAGGAAATGCCAGTTAATTTGCATTTTCCCACGTCATTTTCCCACATTCTAAAATCTCATGCTCCAGATTTTAGACAGCAGAGGTGAACAAGACTATTAAGTGCTTACAAGTCAACTTTATACATCAGAATTAAAGCCACTCTTTTTAAAACACACTAGAGCATATGGAATAAGATGGTCAGGATAAAATATTTTAGGGCTACAATGCTGAATATCAAATCCAGAGTATGTAAGATGATGGGGATGGTGAAGAAAGTACGTTATCTTGTATGGAGCTGGGTTGGCAGTGAAACTTTGCATAAGGTGCAACCTTACCTCAAGACTGAGCTTCTTGAAATAAAAATCAGTAAGAATACTGAATTCAGGAGAGTGAATCTAAGACTATGTGCCCTGACCACCATGAATAAGCAAAGACAGTTAGTTCTGAGACTTATGATTAATAAGTTTCTCAACTCAGAAGAGAAACAAGAAATTAAATATGCATAAACATGCCATCCCGATGATCAAGTTGAATAATAAATCTCTGATACCGCTTCAATAAATTATGGGATTAAACCACGTATTTGGGATTTCCAACTGTTCCAGCCCAATGTAAAATTCTGTGTACGGGAAGACTTTTACACTGAACTGAAGCCCTTAAATTCCTACCGAGAACGACAGAAAAGGGAACAGACATGTTGCGTATGTTTCTCAGCAAGACAGTGTGTAGGGGGTGTGTGTGGAGGGGTAACTATTAGAGCAAAACCAGGCCTCTTCTTTGTTCCCCGTGTAAAAGGAAAAGAACACATTTGCTCAACTGGATGTGTTGCCCAAGTGATATGGCCCAAGTGGGTAGTTAAACGTGGCCAAAAACTATCCTTGCTTACGTTAATAAATAAATACATAAATACATAAATAAATAAATAATAAGCAGAAAGAGAGTCTAACATCCAATGTGGAATTGCACATCTGCCAGCATTTTAAGAGACACAGAAAACCAGTTACAAAAGTAAATGGGACGACTTCAGCTAGCTATTTCCTTAACAGAGATATTCTTGCCAGATGACAATCAGGACAGTTATGGATTTTCATCACGCACCTAGATGGTTGATGGAGAATACACAGAGAGACTGGATGTTTAGGACCAACAAATACTATCCAATTCTAAGTGCAGTATCATAGGGATATTGAAACAAAATGCTATTGTTAGAGCAAATGTCAGAGGAGAAGGCTGCCCAAGCCTAGAGAAAATAAGATCTCGGTGAGCTAGGAGGAACAAAAGTAAGAGGCGCTAAGATAAAACGCCAAAGAGTAAAAGACGCGGGAATGTCCCCCTACAGATGGAGGACTCAAAGTCGAATGAGAATTCTTGTCAAGGTTCAGACAAAACTAAAAGTGATTTCTGATGTTGCCATACGCGATGATTCCCAATGAGAAACGTAACTGAAGAGATATTCCTCAGTTTAAGGAAATTCAAACTGAGTAGCGGAGACTCAAGGAAAGCGGTTCTCTTCGGCCATGACAAAGAGGGCAGATAGATAGCGTTCTCTTTCCTAGAAGTTACTACAGAATGGAGTCAGCTGCATCCAGCTTGTGTGCACAACTTTGTGGAGGAAACCCTTACGGCTCGCTCTGTGGTAACCTGGGGATCTTGATGGGAAGAGACCCAGGAGTAGTTAAAAAGGCTGCGGCACGTACTGCTGTCAAGTCTCGATGACACCCAGCCTCCAACACAGGCTTTGTCGGGTATTCGCTTTCTGTGTGTTCCTATCTTTCCTCCACACTCTCCTTGTTCATGCTGAGCCTGAAGACGGCTTTAGCTCCCCTCATCACAGGCTTCTCCTAACCATCACTAGGTGTTCTTCAGCGGTATTCTCTCCGCAAGATGGAGACGGTCACGGAGACAATGGCGTGCTCTTTCCACATTACCAGTAATGTCTGCTGGTTCAAAAGAAGGAGCTGGAAAAGGTCAGGTATAAATGAAGCCAGAGGAATACTTACCAATGCCTCTTAGATTTTCTTTGGAGGTTGAGAGTCTGACCGGCAGCAAAGAGACCCTCATCTGGATTACTAGTGTTTGACATGGTCCCTGCTAACTCTTCCTCTTCCGCAGCAGATATACCGTGAAGTTCCCTAACCCTTCAGGGTGATGCAGCGCTGTCTCCTAGGGTTATCTTCCTGAAGAGCTAACGTCACCTAACTTTGTGGCTAAGGTACACATATGGAAAATTTCCCAAGTCTGGGAAAACAGGACCAGTGCAGAAGAATAAAGGACTCGTTTAGTGTGGAGAAGAGCATCCTGAGAGAGTGGAGTGATTTTTTTTTCCAAGTCCACAATGTTCTTAAGATTGTGGCCAGGATTTCTGACTTTACGAATATGAGAACAACAGTCAAGTACGGTGGGAGTCGTGTGGTTTACAAACATAAAATCAAATATGATCATGTGAGTCCTAATGGTTTATTGATATCAGTAATAGAGGTGACTTCTCTCTGATTTTTTTTTTTCAAAAGCAAGAAAGCTTTGGAAAATATAAATGAGGCAATTTAAGGGTTTCTGAAAAAATGGTGCAGGGCAAGAAAAACTTAAAGTTTATTTTGGTCTGTTAATTGTCCCTTGTTCTCCCTTTAACTCCATAACGTCTACTCTAATACAAAAGTGGTTAGTAAAGTATAAAAATCCATTTATACGAAAAATGAATTAAAACTGCTACTAACCAGAGAATACACTTATACATGCTCTGCTAAACAGACACATTTAGTAAAAACTGCCTGCAGCCATTAATGAAAATAACCAAAGATGTATGTAAGGAGGTGCATACAGATGAAAACCTGAATGAAAATCACAGAAGGGAAATACTAGAAAATAGCAAAGAAGTGTCAAGGTTCTTCTTAGCTAACCTCAAATCTATAAGAGTGCTCATTATAAACATCAACGCCTACAACATTAAAAAAAAATCCGCAATATCAAGATGAGTCACACGTTAATTACAACAAAAGAGGAGTCTTAAAGCTGATCAGTATGTGAAATCTCACTCCCAAACCCTTTTAAATAATTAGGTTCTTCTGTTCCTGGAATCTTAAGAGTGAACACTAATCTTAAAAGGACAGGACTGTAATAATATTAGCTACTATTATCAGTAACTATAGTTATCTTAAAGCGGCGTATTCTATTTCTCGGGCCACTGTTTCCCTGAATACTGGTATAAAGAGAGTCCTGTACTACGAAAGGAACCAACTCACACAAGTGTAAGAAGTGAGTGGATATCCTACAAGGCACCCAAATGCACGCAGGGTATCATTGGAGGGTTTTCAGTTTTTACACGGATAACATAAATACGCATCATAGTACCCAACAAATAACCACCTCTGAGCTCTTAGAATTATGCTGAAGGTTTTCCTGAATGCTTCCAACAACTAATAGGCACATGCACTAAAAGCAGTGTCTTCCACTCAACGAGAAGGTAGACAGCCATGTGAGTACCTATATGGAGTCCTTTTCAGAGAAGCATGGATAGAAACAAAGACGCTAATAGATCACTCTTCATTCATTCGAATATCTGAAAATTCTAAACCTTAGAAAAAAGGTTTGAATAGATGAGTACCAGTGAAAATTGTCAGATTTTGGAATATGAAAGACTCAAACACTGATGACAACAATTTCACTCCGTCAAAGAATCCTACAGTCAATTCAATGGTAAGAATATTAAATGAACACATAATATCTGCAGCGAGAGCATCAACTAGTGTTACTTTCAAGTATGTTTAAGTTAATGCTTCCACACAATATAAGCAGGAACCTATTACCTCTAGAATAATCAGACCTCCAGAAGGATTATAGGCATAAATGCCTCTCAAAAGTCTAGTGCCGTTGTGCTGACTCCCAACCACTGGGCATATTCAGTCTAATGGGCCCGATCCAGTGGGTCTGAGAACAAATGTACCAGATACTGGAAACTGACAGGCAGTCACTGCTTGCCTGTGGCCAGCTATGCTCCTGAAAACAAAAGATGTGCACCTTTGGGGAAAAATCTTGAAACGGCAGCATTTGGGATTTTATTAAGAACAACCTAGGCCAGAAGGCACAAAGGATGTGAGCCAGAACAGTGGGGTCTGTTTCAAGGTCTGTGATTCTAGATTCTTACCCGTGTGCTTTGTGAGTGGGGCAAGATGGCTAGTCTCTGTTATTATCATTTCTCTCTGTGAGATAGTTGTGTTTCAAGGTATACGTAGAAAAATATCCTGAAAACTCAAAATTGCTGCAAGTTCATTCCCTTCTGTTGCTGTTACTCTTGTGGAAAGGCCAGAAACGATGACGGGTCGATGGGCGGATGGTCAGTTTGGAGTCTGTGCAGCCAATGACTTACTCCAAAAAGCCAACAGTGTTTTCAAATACTTCTGAACAATGAGGTGGACAGAAAACCTCAAGTGCATGTATGTGATTTTGCACGATACCAAAACAGTCATCCTTCCATGCTTATTTCTACAGGTCTCATACGGGTTAAGGCTAGAATTAAAGACAGACATGTACCTCTGAAAGCCGTTAAAGCCATCTACCGTTAAACACAGACCACGTTAGAAACTGCATGACCTGACATGAAACGTGACTTCCTGAAATCAGTGTTCCTCTTACCGAGAACACGTATGTAAGTGCTAGGAACATGTTTCAGTTTAATGGATAAAAAAAAAAAGTATTTTCCCTTCTACAGCTGTGTTCAAACAAAGTAACGGGGCAGCAGCTCCACGCGTAAATCCATAAATACATATATGTTCACACACACCAAGCAAAAACGTCCTTCATGTTTATCTTTCCTTCTAATCTTCATATCATTACACCGAAAACCTGCACTCTGCCGCCTCAAATAGACTTTGATTCATGATCTTTCTGAAGGTGTAAATCAGAGATCTTGCCTCATGTTAGAGCGAACGTCCTTGAAAACTCAGTTTCAAAAATCCACATCAGCTGGTATTATGCCCTGGTATACAGCTTTGTCTAAAAAAGGTGACTAACTCAGGCCATCTTCAACACAGGGATATCTGCTGACTGTATCAAAATATAAATACGGAAACGTAGCTACTGGGAATTTCCAGAAAGTCACAATCTGGTGATCATAACTGAAGACATTCAACTCACTAGAGGTGTTCTTAGCAGCCTGTCAACAGTCCTTGCTTATTATCAGCCTTCTCTCCCTAGAAACTCTTAATTCTTTTATGTCCAACGGTTGCAATTTGTGGCAAAGTGTGTGTTCATGGGGTATGATTTTTACAGCATAATCTAGAGCATAAGCAATACACAAGGCAGTGAGGAAAGCCAAAGATAAGGAGATCAACAATACTAAATGAGATGTAAGTCAGAAGAAAGAATCATTAAGCGGGTTTTATAACCGCGCTCTGCCACGGGGTAGAGATGTGGCAGCCCATCTCCTCCTTCCCTGAACAGAAGAAAAAAAAAAATCCCGGTAGTTAGAAGCAACGACATTTCATGTGGTGAGTGACTCATCAGAGGGCTCTAAATTCTCTTGATCTTTGCTTCTGAAGCTTGAGGGTTCAAGCCCAAGAACACATGGAATCTATAAAGACGGCTGATTGCCATTCCTTAGAGTGTTTGGTAAAAGAGGCTATTTTTTAAAGTCAGCAAGATGGGTGGTGATTCTTCCTAAAACAGGCTTGAACAGCAACAACATTAACCATTAACCTTTTCCTTGTTGCTGGAAGCCATCGGTAGTAAGGGCCACCCCACTCCGTTTCCCGGGACGCGCCCCACGCGTCTCTTACCCAGCACTGTGATTGTGGTGTAACTTTCCTGGGGAGGGTCAGTGTAGAGCTGGCAAAAGTATCTCCCTTCATCCGAAATCGAGACATTTGTCAGCGACACTTTGAGTTCACTGCTAGAAAAATTCAGCAACTGAAACCTGCTGTCCTTCAGAGCTGCGAGACAAAACACAGAGGCAGTGATTAGGAGGAAGTGGACGGACCATCCATTTTCCTTACCTCGGGGAGGAGGAAGTCAGGTGACTGGAAAGGCCGCTACAGAGTAGAAAAATCGAGTCAGTCTTTGTGCACCTGTTGGGTACTTCTTCATGCTTCCTGAACTACTGTTTTGGGCTTCAACGATAACTGCACGTAGACAAATAACCTTGTCCGAAAGGAAAGTGACACACATGGGGCCTGTGGGTGTAAGAGCACACGCAAACACACGGACGCGCGGGCACGCGCCCACACCCACGCACACGCACACGTGCTCCTTGCTGTCAGTTTCAGCACGTGCTCATAAATCGTATCAGATTTTCCATTGGAGTTCGGCAAAATGAAAACAGAAGGAAGGGCAGGCTGTGAGGATCCTCTGGACGCCCAGAGACTAGGATGTACTCCCCTTGAAAAAGAGTGCTTCCAAATTATGAAACCCCCCAAAAATCATTATTAGTAATTTGAAAAACAACATGGAAGCAATTTAAAAACATTTTACAACAAAACAATCCCATTTGCATTTAACTTGGATGCATCTTTGTATCTGGTATGGTTGGAGGTGAAGCTTCCCGAAGCCCACGACCCAGGGCCTCCCAAAGCCTCAGGCCCCGCCTGCAGTTTTCCAGCTTCAGCTTCAGCTTCACAACAGCAAAACAGAGGAGGATAAAGTAGGAAATCAGAGTCACCACAAAAGTAACGTTTGTGGGCTTTTCATTCATTTCAAACATTCACCTTTAAAGTCCTTCTACTAATTTTGGCAAAGGCTAGATTCATTTATAATGACCAAAATTCACTTTAAGAATGATTGGCTCCTCTCCTTTGACCTTCCTTCACCCTCTTAGATGCTCCTTGGGTTTATCAACTCTTTCCACACTTCCTGAATGTTCTGGGGCGTTGGGGAGGAGGGGGACAAATAGATGGGAAGGGACGTTCCTCTACACGTGCTTTGATGAGGTACCGATGTTCTCAAAGAGCAGTTTTTTGAAAAGACCTGACTCTTGGTCTTGCTAAGCTCAGACATCCATCTGAACCATTTCTAGGATATACAATTGAGTTTCAATGATTAGCTTCTGTGATATCATATTCGGTAAGGTTCCAGCACATGGTAACCTCCATCTACCAGAGGCTATGGTGATAGGAGAGTTTGGTTTTGTCTCCATAGGCACAGATTGCCTTGGAAACTTCAATCTTCAAACCAAACAGATTACCCTTCAGAATGCTATATTTTCTTTGCCTTACCCTATTTGAGTTGTTGTGTCCGGGACTCAATTGCAATTCACCTTGAATTACTACAATCAATTCCTATTGCAAAGTAAGACCGCTTTACTTTTAAAGGGGACCATTCAAGGTTTCTATTAAGTAGAAAGATTATGATTGCATGTCTCTTCTTCCCTCTGAAGAATTGACTAAACTTTAAGCATCTAACATTAAATTTAGAAAAGGAGGCCTTGGCAATCTCTTTATCAAGACAACATGTAGGAAAAAAAAAGTTGCCATCTAATACTATTGAGATGGAAACTTACGCCTGAAGTCCCTGAAATAAATGGTCTGCCTGTTGGGATTCAGCAGCTGGATCACAGAGTCGTCACTCTTATTGACTTGGCAGCTGATGGTCGCAACTTCTCCCTCGATCACTGTCACGTCTTTCGTAAACAAATTCTGCCCATCACCTTAAAAAAAAAAAAAAAAAAAGGAGAAAAGAATTTCCATCGATTAAAATTTGGCTCATGGCTCAGTTAAAACGAGAAGCAAGAAGTGTGTTAGAAAATGGACTCCAGAAGCAACACTGGTGTGGCTCCCTCACTCATCCCAGAGAGATCCAGGGGCCAAATGCAACTAAGCCTGGAGTCAACGTGCTCTCAAAAGTGGGGATGCCAACGTTCCAGCTTCCGCTATGTTATACCAGTTAAGGAGTGTGTTGGAGAGGTACGGAAAGGTCAGAGAATTCACTTCTCTAAGAAGCTGCAGCTGTCACAAATGGAGTGGGGGAGAAACATATACTCAACCTCAGCTCACACGCCCTTGAGCTAAGCTCTTTGGTCGCCTCACAGAAAACTCAAGGGACCACTTAATAGAAGTAGGGGAGGAGGGCTCAGTAAATAACTTTCTCTTGTTAGTGGCTGTCGACATTCCCAAGGTGTAGGCAGGTCAGTTGTTTACTGAGTGGGAGTGAGGACCTACCCAGCTAGGACTCTCTGGCATCTCCATCAAATCCTGGGAGAGCTTAGAGTTCAGTCTGTTACTCTGCTCTCGGAAACTAACACCTTGCAGACTCACCGAAAGCCCCAGGCAGTCCCAAACCATGCCCCTTCTGCAGCTTGCCCATCTAGCCACTCAGAACATCTCTTTCAGAACACATCAAAAAGTTAAGGGTTATAGATCCACTGATACAGGCTTCTCTCCAGATCTGCTCTAGTTTGTTGCTTCTAAGATTAGTGACAGTGGCCAGCGTGCCTCATGAATGTCCCATAGGATCCACAGCACGGGTAGGAGGAGAGCAGAATTCAATTCAATAGCAAAAGATGAAGCAACTGTTGAATGTCCAATTCTGCACCTGGAATAGCAGAAGATATAGAAATACAGGACCCCGTCCCAACCTTTCAGAGGCTGCAATGTGGGGGGGGGGGGGGAACGGATACCTAATCTTCACTTACGGAACAAAAAATGCAGAATGGGCAATGGGTATGTACAAAGGTCGGTCGGGAAGATTGCTTTTTGGCTGGATGATCTCAAGTAAATTATTTCAAGTCCCCGAGCCAGTGTCTCATCTGCAAAATGGGGACAGTAATTCAAAGCCCTCTCCCAGAGCCGTTGGAAGGATTGAGAAAGGTAATAAATATAAAGCGTTTAGCACTGTGTCTAGCTTCTTATAAAGCTGAATAAATGAGAGCTGCCCTCCTCATCGCCATCATTTCTGTAGTTGTCAAATCCAAACATTTATTAGGCAATTCCACATGCTGGGGGGTAGTGTGCGTGCAAGAACGAAGGCTCACACTCCCTCCTCTCAAGCTCTCTAGGTAATTACAGATCAGGGTGGTTTATTCACTCCTCCCGCCAAAATACAAAACAAAACAAAACAACAACCCCAAAACAACTTTGTCACATTTAGAGACAAAGGTCAAAATAAATCCTATTGCAAAAGAGAGAGAGAGAGGGCGCGAGAGCGCACATAAGTAGAGATGCAATCGTTGTAAATGGAGGATATCCACCTGCTATTGTATTTCTGCTGAAGGATCCTTGTTTGCCAGGACACAGCGAGGAAGTGTGAGAAGGGTGTGAGATGGCATTAAGCCAAATCCACCTAGAAGCAGACCAGCCTCTGACAGAGGATTAGAAAGGAGAGGACTAGGGGTTAAGGACAAAATTATTAGAGCCGCAGATAAAACAAAAATTCTTGGTGCTCGAGGAGTAAACCGAATTAACCTAGGTGTGCTAACGCAGGCCCCCAGGGCTGGCAGTGAGCGGAGAGGGTAAATATTCCCTAGCTTGATCCAGCACTGAAAGCTTAGTGGGCTGAACAATGTTACAGAGTAACAACAAAAAGAAGACGTGATCAAAAAAACCAAAACCAAAACCACAAAGGAACGCTTATTTTTTCCTCTGTGGATTACTGGGACAGACACCGAATTCAGAAGCCAGCTGGAGGGAGCGGTGTAGTCCCAGATTTGAGAAAAGAACAAGGAAAAGGGAATTCCTGCCAATCAAGCGAGCTTTTCAAGGTGGCTTTACTGGCCCTGGAAAGAGTATGTACAGAAAGGACAACACGCTAATTTCCTCGGGGTAACCCAATCCAGTAAGAAAATTAAGGAGACGTGAAACCGCACAATTCCAAAGCTGGGTCGGTCTTAAGTCATGGGAGTTGCCTTGAGGAGATTAGAATACCAAATGGGGTCCACTGGGGTCTACTGGGCCATGGGCAGAGATTTCCTCTACCTAAAGAAATCTATTGCCAACATAAATAAGAATCTTCACTTTATAGGAGGAACCTAAAGAAAGGCTAGCTGGTGATAGGCCTTAATCCCCTCAACATAAATCAAGGCCTTACACTTCCTCACCACTACCTTGTAGGTAGTGGAACTTATTAAAGTCAGTGGCAGTTCCACTGGACCCTAATAAAACAGTTTCTGTGGAACTAACTATACCATTTAATTTCAGTCTTTCCTCGGCATGCTAGTATATGCTTTCTGAATAGCGTCTACATCCACGTTAAGGCTCTCAAACATTTGCACAGGAGATGGGGACAAAGAGAAGTTGACCATGATGTTGTGTGTTAAGCAATTAAGGTCATAAAACGGAATCAGAGGAGTTTTGTCTGTTAAAAAGTCTGAACGTTCTTTTTTTTTTTTTTTTAACTTTTATTTATCTATTTATTTGAGAAAGGGGAGGGAGGGGCAGAGAGGGAGAGAGAGAATCCCAAGCAGGCTCCGCGAGGGCCGTGGGGCTCCAACTCACAAACCATGAGACAGTGACCTGAGCCGAAATCAAGAGTCAGTCGCTTAACCGACTGAGCCACCCAGGCTCCCCAAAAAGCCTGAACATTCTTAATTATTACTCAGAGTTAAGTAACGTAAGACCAGATCCCTTTACTGTGTTGTCACTGAGTAAATCATTCAGGTAGAGTTTTTGCCCTTGTGTGTGCAGGCAGAGAATGTGCTCTGCAAATCCACGGTGGTACCATCATCATTACTGTGTTATTTTTTGTAACTGCTAAAGCCAACCTAAAATCCAATGTCTCCGAAAATGACGGTTCCTAGCTCTGTTAACATGGTCATAATACTAATGTTAAAAAATTACAAGCGATAGTGAAATATGTTGCTCAAAGAGATCAAAGCGCCTTGGCTGACGGTGGCCCAAGAACGTCACTGCAAAAATCACCAATAAATTATACGGATCAGCTGGACAGCAGTTATATTAAATAGAACTCCATACTTTGAGGTGCCGTAAGATGGCCGCAACGGAGTAATAATGACCTATTTATTTGAGGCAAAGAAAGTGAATGGCAGTGATGAGAATATATGTATGTCAGTACTCTTAACTGCCTGAAGCCTTTATGTAAAAATAATTTCTGCTCACAGCCTCAGATATTTCTTCCAAACAGAAGGGTGCACTGTGACTTGATAAATTTCCCCTTGAAACAGATATCATGACAATTAGGTTGTTGCAAAACACAACTTGATCTGGAGTAGAAGGGTACATGCAGGCAACATAGGTGCCTTTCTTAAAATAATCCACTTAAAAAAAAAAAAAAAACCTTGCTGATTTTCTAAAACTCAATTAGCAGATGTACTGTCAAGGCAGAAACAGCACATGTTCTGGGCAAAAGAAATCAAGTAAGTACAAAATACTGTCGCCATTAAATAAGGGTGTTAACAGCAAGGTAATTTATTTTAAGGGCAGATCAATGTCTGACATGTACAGACATTTTTGACTGCTAATTCGTGTACACGGGTGAGGTTTAGGAGACAGAATCAAAGTGGATTTTAATTTATACCAATAACAGTATTTCCTATAACTTCTCTATTTGCTACCTACCCCCCCCCCCCCATTTCTAAAAACACAACACTGGCACTGGAGAAGCCTGTTCACTCACGAGCAAGTTTCCCATAGTAAACTAGAAGTTGCGAGGATATTTATTTACAAGACAGACAAAGCACATTGTCTAAGAAAAGAAAAAAATTTTTTTGATTAGTAAAGACCATTTCAGCGGGGTTGGTTAGGGCTGGAGGGAGGGTGGGGGTGCCGTTGGCTTATAAATCCCTTATTCAAGTGGCTTAACTCATGGATTCTTTCCTGAAACCTCATTTTGCTAGAAGCTCTATTTAAATGGCGTTACACCACACACTAGCACTGACTGGATTCTACTCCATCCACAATATGGCCACCTGAAGGGGGTGACGGGGCAAATCTCAAAGCCAGAAGCCCAGATGAGAAACGGGGAAGGGAGCACACGTCTACACAGTGCTAGGCACTGTGCTGGTCGCTCTGCACACGTTTCCCTCTCAAACTCCTGGAGTTCTCAATATCGCCACGTCAGAGACTAAGAACCTGAGACCCAGAAACATTCAAACAAGTCTCCTAGTGTAATTCAGCTAAGTGTCGGAGCTGGGGTTTGAACCAGTTCCGTCAGCTTCTCTGGCCCCATACGGTTTGTAGTTTTTAGCCAGCCAACATCGGGATCGGCTGCCAAGGTTCTACTGGCTCAGCCTTGGAAAATTTACTTGTTTTTAAAGAGGGTTATTTCCCTACGAGCAACTTCTGATATTTTTTTTTTTATTTCCATAATTTACCCAGAACACAATTACACACTTCAAGATGAGAGAGAAACTGTCCTGAATGTAAAACACCTTGTTTACTACCGCTTCTCTCTTTCAGCACTCAGCACACTTTGCCCCTGGAGAACGCCTTTATTACCGGTGCATGGCGGGCATTGGCCAGCACCGAGAGCTCGCCCCCGCGGCCTGGCTGTTGATCAAGAAAGCACTTCATTTACACCGGGGTGTCTCTCCAGTCAAGTCTATAATAAAAGGGCAAGTCATAGTTAGAACAGAATTTGGTTTATACTATGGCAACTATGTAAACTCTTACTGACACTGAGGAACGCCGAGCACTCTTAAGTGGGAAGATAGTTTGCCCAGAGAAAGAGCAAATAGAGTCCCCTGACCTACTCCTT